TCATTTTGGGGAAGAAAAAGTGCGTCTTATAGAGCGAAAAATACAGTAGATATTGGATAATGCATACCTCATTCCAAAAATTAGGAATAGTAAATGTATAGCAAAGAAAAAATGTATTTTTTAAATTGAACCCTGATTTACACGTGATTCTGGGCAAGTAAAATGAATGGGGGTGATGAAGTGTGACTGTCCATTGCACTGAATATGTATGTTACCTGCTGCTGTTATTTTTAAATTGGGCCTGAATGTGGCAAATATGAAGCAGTCCAAAGAAAATTTGAAATGAAAGAGACAGGCATGGTATAAAATTTGCTATGAACTTGACTAGTTAGGTGAGTGCGGTGGTCAGGAGTGCCTGTTATCAGCTTCGGCTGATACGCCAACTGCGCCCTTATCTGAATAGGAGGGACTTGGAAACTGTGGTACATGCTCTGGTAACCTCACGTCTGGATTACTGCAATGTACTCTACATGGGGCTACCCTTGTGCCTAACCCGGAAACTTCAACTGGTGCAAAATATGGCAGCAAGGTTAATCACCAGAACTTCTAGGAGGGAGCACATAACACCTGTGCTTAAATCCCTCCACTGGCTGCCAATTAGTTTCCAGGCGCGATACAAGGTGTTGGTTTTGATCTTTAAAGCCCTAATTGGCTTCGGTCCATCTTACCTTAGGGACCGCCTCCTCCTGTATGATCCCCCCCCCCACACCCTCCGGTCATCTGGGAGGAATCTGCTTCAGCCGATAAAGACTAGGCTTTTGCAGACCTCCCAGAGGGCCTTTTCTGCTACTGCCCCTCGACTTTGGAATGGCCTGCCGGATGAGATCCGTCTTATTACAACACTTGCTGCTTTTAAGAAAGCAGTAACGACGGATCTCTTCCGACAGGCCTTCCAGGAATAACGCTCCAGAGGGATGAGTTTTAACTTAGTTTTATTCTGTCCCTGATCTTCTTGCTGAATTTTTAGCATCTAGTGTTGTTGTTGTTATTTCGTTGTATTTTAATTCTTTCTAAGTTTAATTCAGTTTTAAGGGGGGGAGGGTTATGGATTGAGGGAATTGTTTTTTAACTTTGTTGTTTTTTAAAATGCTGTAACCCGCCCCAGTTGCCGCGCAGAGGGGCGGGCTATAAATAAAGAATTATTGTTATTATTATTATGAAGATGAGTAACATCTAGCACTGAGTCAAAACTGCTAAGAATATTTAGAAAAGAACGGTAGTCCTCCTCTAGAATCTTTTGCAAGGGGACTTGCAATCTCTGAGAGATAGATAAGACTTTGATGGACATGAGGCCTAAACCCATTAGCTCGTTAATATGCAGTTAGATTTCTGACTGTAATCTCAAGGCTGCTGACAGTAAAGTTCAATGTAATTCAAATCTCTCAACTTTACACTATTTTTTGTTATGTCTAGACAGAAAGCAGACTTGTCTCAAGGTGTTTTGCTGCAATTGTTTAATCTCTCTCCCCCCGCCACCCCAGTACCTGAACAATTAATGGGTTGGCTTAGTGGTTAAGATGCCAATTCTGATGATCAGAAGGTTGGAAAATTGGCAGTTCAAGGCCCAGGTGCTGCATGATGGAATGAGCTCCTGTCACTAGTCCCAGCTTCTGCCAACCTAGCAGTTTGAAAGCATGCAAATGCAAGCAGATAGATAGGCACCACTTCAGTGGGAAGGTAACAGTGTTCGGTGCAGTCATGCTCCCTCTCTCTCTCTCTCAGAACATAGTTTTATAAGTTCCAAACTCTGCTGAATATAGTGATATTTTAACTCATTACTAATTTAATCTACTTCTGTTTTTTTCAGGTCTCCCTCGCAATTATGGATATCTGAAAGAGCAAGATAGTGTGGAGGGGGAATCCCCCTCCCCACTCCTTTGGTAGCCATTTGTAAACTTATTTTCCCGGACAGTAATTTTTTGTAGAAAAATAAATGAAGACTTGAACTCAAAATTTATATTGATGAAAAATATTTATTTTTTTACGTGCCAAGCCTTAAACAGCACAATTTCTTATGTCTGCTGTCTGAAACTGAATAAATGACCTGGAAATCTTGGACTGCACATGGAGAAGGGGCAGAACCAGATTGCTCTGGTGTGTTTTACAGGGGCTTAGCAATTCAGTAAAGAGTACGATGAGTTCTTTGATGCCAGACTGTACCTTGAAATGCCGATCACAGCAGCATGCTTTGGATATTGTTTCTGTAGTGACCCGAGGAAGTGAAGGCCAGATCAAGGCCTTCCTCACTTCTCATTGCTATAATGCAGCAACAAGCAAGGATACATTTGGTAGGAATGCTCTCCATCTTGCCTCTTCTTGTGGAAAGAAAGGAGTGCTGGACTGGCTGGCAGAAACAAACGGAGTGGATTTGTTGGCAAAAGACAAGGAATCAGGATGGACAGCGTTACACCGTAGTGTCTTCTATGGCCATATAGATTGTGCATGGTCACTACTGAAGGTTGGTATTTTGCCATTTTTATTAAGGCTATAAATATGCATTATATGTAAAGGCTACAGAGAAGCCAAGCCTTAAACAGATTTAAAATAATAATAAGCTAGATTTTACATTGCCACAATCTCATCTAGCCATTCTTTGATCAACACACACTTTTTAGCAGTTCCTCCTGAAAGTCAAACAAGACTGCTCTTTGAATGATATTTAAGACAAAGCTTAGCAGGAAGTCTTAAATAAAAAGGATTGATATTGTGTGGAGGAGCAGTCATTCCCTGTTCGTACAAGCTGAACTTAAGAAAGGCGTCAGTGTTGCTTCATTTTTTGGTGTCTTTTGAAATTATATGGAACTCGAGATCAACTATAGAATCTCCTTGTAAACATATTCACCTTTGATGATTACTGTGTCCCCTATGATTTGTGGGTGGAGAAATTGCATTTTAGTTGGCACTTGACATAAGAAATTAAGTGATTTGCCACACTGCATAAATATAGCAGTTTGATACCATTTTAACCGTCATGGTTCTGTTCTGTGGAATCCTGGGATCTGTAGTCTAGTGAGGTATTCAGCCTGATCTGTCAGAGAGCTCTGATGCCTCACAAAACTACAAATCCCAGGATTCTGCAGGATAGAGGCATGGCAGTTAAAGTGATGCCAGACTACTTTATTTGAGCTATGTAGATGCACTCCAGGGATGCAGTGGCTCAAGTGGTTAAGACGCTGACTCTGTTGATTGCAAGATCGGCAGGTTGGCAGTTTGAGGCCTGGGTGCTGCGTGATGGGTGAGTTCCTGTCACTAGTCCCATCTTCT